CACAGATTACAAATCCTTTCACTTCGAATCTTGATGTGAGGATATCCAAGTAAACAGTGAATATAAATCACCCTGAAAATATCTCTGATGTAAGAACTTTTTTACTGGACACTTATTTTTCTAATATAATCAATCTTTTGGGAGTAAACATTTCAAATATTATACTATGCTATATTTATTACCTATCTTGGAGATGTTTTAGGGCAATGACGACTGGGCTTCTGCTGAAGTGATTCATAGTCTCAGCACAGGAGACTCTTTGAATGCCATTTGGTTGATTTGATGTTTGTGACGTCTACTGTTGTTCCTAGCAGAGGTAATAAAAATACTTAAGCATTAAAAAATTCCACATCAGGGGTGCCTGGTGGCTCAGTTGGTTAAGCATCCAACTCTTGACTTCGGTTAAGGTCATGATCTGAGGGTGGTGAGATTGAGCCCCGGGTGGGGCTCCTTGCTCAGTGTGGAGTCTGCTTAAGATTCTCTCTCTCCTTCTTCCTCTGTCCCTCTCACCCTCCCCCCTGCCTGAAGTGTGTGCTCTCCCTCTCTCTCAAAAAAAAATTCCACATCAGTTATTTATTGTTACATTAATCTATTAACTCTTTACTGAAGTCCTAAATGAGGACTGCTAGGCCCCATAAGGGATAAAACATGAATTAGGCACTGATTTCATTCTCTGGAGGTAAGGCTCAAGATGTATGGAAATAACAAGAAGGCAAGGTGGAACATATTGAGTGGTACCTGAAAAGAGATGTGCCCTTAGACTGGGCAACTGGGCTCCTGCCCAGGGCTCTGAGTTGTAGAGGGCCCTATTCTGGACCAATGAGACATGCCCACCAGCAGCCCGAGTTTCCTTGCACTTCTAGAATATGTTCTGGGTATCTGAGGCCCCAGAATCCCACACATAGATGGCTCCTTACCCATCTTCCGAAGTGTGGACTGCACATCTGGTATGTGCAGGGGTGGCCCAAGAAGCGGGCAAGGAATGACTGCATGCAGGGATGTAGATAGGACGAACTTGGAAATGTAGGCTAATTCTCCCTGTACTACCTATAACAGTTAGTTTCATTTGCAACTTTTAATATTCAGGCTCTGTTACGAGGGTCTCCAATTTCTCTTGCCCTGGAGACCCACAAATGTTAGGGGCAGAGTGGCCTGGCTATGGGAATTCATGTAAACCGAGAAGTTGGCCTTGGCAGTATCTGAGAAGCCTCACTGGGGAGGTGGAGCTTGAACAGGCAGAGGTAGGAGTAGGGAAAGAGGAGAGGAAATTCTGGCAGAGGGGGACATCACACTCAAAGACATGGAATTAAAAGTGCCAGTCTGTATGTGGGAAGTCTAGCTTTCTGTGAGGATATCAGGAGTGGAAGAGTAGAAACCAAGATTAGAGAAGGAGGAGGAGATCGGATCATGGACCGCCCGGAATGCTAGGGCATGGTCAAGTGTCTTATATTCTCAGCACAGGAGGTCCATTTACATCCATTTACACAACATCTAATATTCACTTCAGCAGGTTAGGGTCTTTGAACTTCCTGCTGTTCCCTGGCTTGTGCTCCCTTTCTTTCTGTCAAATAAATAAAATCTTTAAAAAAAAAAAGGGTGATTGCTAAAGGTACCTGGCTGGCTCAGTTAGTAGAGTGTGCAACTCTTGATCTCCAGTGGTGAGTTTGAGCCCCCACATTGGGGGTAGAGTTTACTTTTTTTTTTTTTTATTTGACACAGAGAGAGAGCACAAGCAGGGGGAGTGGCAGGCAGAGGGAGAGGCAGAAGCAGAAGCAGGCTCTCTGCTGAGCAGAGAGCCTGATGTGGGGCTGGATCCCAGGACCCTGAGATCATGACCTGAGCCAAAGGCAGATGCTTAACCGACTGAGCCACTCACGTGCCCTGGTAGAGTTTACTTAAAAAAAAAAAAAAAAGCAAAAGGTAATTTCTTTTGGAAGCTGGGACACTTTTGACCTTGCATAGTTAGATGATTAGTGAGGAATTAATATGTTTTACCCTACCTTCAGAATTCTTTTCAGTTGTACTCTTAACACCTTTTTCTGGTCTCAGCAGCTAGATATGAAGTATGGGATTGCCCAAAGTAGGTGTCAGTTGGGATCAAGAGCACAGAGGTCAAGTTAAAGAAAAAAAATTGCCAAACACAAGTATAAGTTTGAAGAACACTTTTTGAGTGAGTCTCTTTTAACCTTACTTTTTGTTCCTCTCCATCCCCTAACCCTGAGACTGTTTTTTTCCCACTGATTTTTTTTTAAGAGATTTGAGAGAGAGAGAGAGATGGTGAGTGTGAGAGAGCATGAGCAGGAGAGAAGGGAAAAGGGAGATGGAGAAGCAGACTCCCCGCTTAGCAGGGAGCCCAAGGTAGGGCTCGAGGTGGGGCTCAATCCTAGGACCCTGGGATCATGACCTGAGCCAAAGGCACACACTTAACTGACTGAGCCACCCAAGCATCCCAATAGGTTTTAATATAGTCAGAGTTGTACAACCATCACCACAATTTTAGAACATTTTCATCTCCCCAAAAAGAAAGGCTGTGCGATTTACTTACCTACTCCAAGCCCTTTTTAACTCCATGGATTTGCTTATTCTGGACATTTCATATAAATTGAATCATATACAATCTTTATGTCTGATTTCCTTCAATTAGCAGCATCTTTTTTTTTAAATTTTATTTTATTATGTTAATCACCATACATTACATCATTAGTTTTTGATGTAGTGTTCCATGATTCATTGTTTGCATATAATACCCAGGGCTCCATTTAGTACGTGCCCTCTTTAATACCCATCACTGGGCTAACCCATTCCCCCCACCCCCTCCCCTCTAAAACCCTCAGTTTGTTTCTCAGAGTCCACAGTCTTTCATAGTTCATCTCCCCCTCCGATTTCCCCCCCTTCATTTTTCCCTTCCTACTTTTTTTTTTAACCTATAATGTATTGTTTCAGAGGTACAGTCTGTGATTCATCAGTCTTACACAATTCACGGCGCTCACCATAGCACATACCCTCCCCAATGTCCATCACCCAGCCACCCCAGCCCTCCCACCCCCCACCACTCCAGCAACCCTCAGTTTGTTTCCTGAGTTTAAGAGTCTCTTATGGTTTGTCCCCCTCTCTGGTTTCATCTTGTTTCATTTTTTTCCCTCCCTTCCCTTATGCTCCTCTGTCTTGTTTCTCAAATTCCTCCTATCAGTGAGATCATATACTTGTCTTTCTCTGATTGACTTATTTCGCTTGGCATAATACCCTCTACTTCCATCCATGTCGTTGCAAATGGCAAGATTTCGTTTTTTGTTTTTGGTTTTGTTTTTTTGATGGCTGCATAATATTCCATTGTATATATTTACCACATCTTCTTTATCCATTCATCTGTTGATGGACATCTAGGCTCTTTCCATAGTTTGGCTATTGTGGACATTGCTGCTATAAACATTGGGGTGCAGGTGCCCCTTCGGATCACTACATTTGTATCTTTGGGGTAAATACCCAGTAGTGCAATTGCTGGGTAATAGGGTAGTTCTATTTTCAACTTTTTGAGGATCCTCCATACTGTTTTCCAGAGCGGCTGCACCAGCTTACATTCCCACCAACAGGGTAGGAGGGTTCCCCTTTCTCCGCATCCTCGCCAACATCTGTTGTTTCCTGACTTGTTAATTTTAGCCATTCTGACAGGGGTGAGGTGGTATCTCATTGTGGTTTTGATTTTTATTTCCCTGATGCCGAGTGATGTTCAACACTTTTCATGTGTCTGTTGGCCATTTGGATGTCTTCTTTGCAGAAATGTCTGTTCATGTCTTCTGCCATTTCTTGATTGGATTATTTGTTCTTTGGGTGTTGAGTTTAAGAAGTTCTTTATAAATTTTGGATACTAGCCCTTTATCGGATATGTCATTTGCAAATATATTCTCCCAGTCTAGCAGAATCTTTTTAAGTTTCATCCATGTTGTAGCATGAATCAGTACTTCATTCCTTTTCATGGTCAGATAGTGTTCCACTATGTTTATCTATTCATCAGTTGATGGACATTTGGGAAATTTCCACTTTGGGCTTTTATGAATAAAGCTACTGTGAACATTTGTGTGTGTATATATATAGTTTCATTTCTCTTGGACATATACCTAGAGATGGAATTGCTGGGTCAAATGGTAACTCTGTTCAACTTTTTGAGGAAGTCCTAAACTGTTTTCCAAAGTGCTGTGCCATTTAACATTTCCTCTAGCAGTGTTTGAGAGTTCCAATATCCAAGGAAAGACATTTATGACTTTGAGCAATAATTGTTGAGCATCCATTACATGTATGGTACAGGACTACGCAGTATGGGCAACGATAGAATGTAATACACAGATCCCCTGGATAAACAGAAACCTCTATTTCCAGGGTCATCATTTTGTTCCATCTGAAGCTTTTAAATAGTTCATGTTCAATAACTTCGAGGCTCCAAACAGTAATACCATTTGTGGAGACAGAGGAGGGTTTCTATCATGTAACAGCCATTTCTAAGTTGCTAAGTACCCCTTTCCAAAGGAGAACACATAAGTAAAGAGATCTGTCAGCTGCATTGGAGGAAGATGACTGGGTCCAGTTTATCTCAATACTTACAGGCTTTGCGGGGGCACTTCCTGGATTCTGGGTCTGACAATCTATTCTCTTCTTTCCTGTAGGCTTTCTAAAACTACACATTTGAATATTAAGCTTATTTTTCTTTCATATTCCATTGTGTGATTTTAAGTCTCAACCCAAACCATCTCAGAACTAACTGTAAGATGTGTAAGACATCTCTGAACTATAAGTTTTGGTCAGTTGCACAATTTGACATACATCCCTCTACATGCCCCAGCCCCGTTCCTCTGCCTTTCTGTAAACCTTGCTCTGTGGAGATTACTCAAGGTCTCAATTCTTTAATTAGTTTGCTATTGTCATAACCCACATTCAAAAGAGTTTGCCTTCTCCAGGTCTTCCAGAAAGGGAGGGCTTCTAAAATGATAAGATGAGGGGTACAAAAGCAACAGAGGTGTGGAAACGTGTCCTGCCCCCACTTTCATTTGTGACTGCTAGAGTTTTAACAGTCAGCAGCTTTAAATGTAAACACACGAAGATTGTCAGTGAGATGATGACAGTAGGCTCACCCTTGGCTTGGAGTTAAGGAAGCACGGGAGGCGTGTCCTTGGAGACTGGAGAAGGTTCACAGCCACCGGTTGGCTACAAGAATTGCTGGATCCGCCAAGTGACGTTTACCTCCATGGAGGTTCCCGTCCACCTGGACATCTGCTGACAGGTCAAGTTTCACTAACGCCATATATTTGAGACAAAACCCAAAACTACATACTCCAAGTAAATACAGATCCACCTTCACCCACCCTTCCTTCCTTCCTTCCTTCCTTCCTTCCTTCCTTCCTTCCTTCCTTCCTTCCTTCCTTCCTCCCTCCCTCCCTCCCTCCCTCCCTCCCTCCCCCCTCTTTATTTTCTTTCTTTATTATGTATTTATTTATTCTTTATTTCTATTTCCCCCCTTACTTCAACACCTTCCTTTCCCTCGTCAGCAAATTACCCACCCCCACCCCAGCCATGGACTCCGGCTCCACCTTTTCATCTCCTGGCGTTTAGCTGGCTCACTCCACCGCTCGCGTCCTCCGCGTCTTCCGCGCCCGCCTCAAGGCCAATTGTCACCCTCCCTGCCCCCTTAAGAGCTCGGGGAAAATGTCTCGGCCCCGCCATCCTTCGCTTTCCCCGGCGGACATGTCGCACGCCAGGTCTGGACGCTCCAGGGCGGCTGTGAGGTGCCCTCTCCCCGGCTCGCGGCCCCCGCCGGCCCGCCAGCGCCCGCGGTACACCACAGCGCGCGGCCTCCCGGGTGGCCCGGCCTCCGCACAGTCGCCCCGCCCGGGTCCAGCTCCGCCCCCGGCCGCCGCTCGCTGATTGGCCTCCCACCCCCTCCCCCGGGCTCCTCTCCACCCCTCAGCCCAATGGGCATCGCCACCTGGTCCAAAAATTCCCCCGAGGGGACCGAGGGGCTCTGCAACCACCAGCAGCCTCCGGGCGCCGGGGACGGCCGCGGTGGGGCGCAGAGCGGGGAGGGGACACGGAGGGGGGAGCGGAGGAGGCGGGAGGAGGAGCAAAGGTGTTGGAGAGAAAACTTCTGAAAGGAACAGGAAACCTGCCGGGGAAGCGGCGGCTGCGGCTCTCGGGGCGCCGGGGCTGCGCACGTCGCGGGGTGTCCGCAGCAGCGGCTTCGCTCCTGGTCAGCTCCCCCGGCGCGGGGGCAGGGCTGAGCCACGACACTCGGTCACTCAGGCCGTGCCCTTCGCCGCCGCTGTCGGCGCTGCTGCCGTGCGCTCCGTTCCGCCTCTGCCGCGGCGGCTCCCCGGAGAAGGGAAGAGGAGGGACGTCTACTTTGGAGCATGAAGCAGCATGTCTGATAAAATGTCCAGCTTCCTCTACATAGGGGACATCGTGTCCCTGTACGCGGAGGGCTCGGTCAACGGCTTCATCAGCACCCTGGGGTAAGCCGGGGGGCGCGGGCTGGGCAGCGTCCGCGCTCCGTCTCCTGAACCGTCCCTGTCCCTGCTCGCGCCGCAGTGTCCCCCAGCTCCCTCGCGAGGGTGGCCGGGCCGCGCGGCTGGGTCTGTGCCCGCGGACAGCGCCGCGCGCTCGGCTCGCTCGCAGGAAGCTGCCCCGAGCGGCAAGACTTTCTCAGCAACTTCGTAATCTCAAGCTCAGAGACACATCAGAAAAGGAGGAAGTGATTCAAAAGCCCCGAGACAGGCCCTGCGAAGGAGTCTTCGCTAGCTTCTCCATGGGTTGTTTTCGTTAAAATGTTTGTTTTCCCTTAAAGGTAAAGCAAAACTGCACCTCTCGCCCGGTGTGCTAGCGACCACTCTCAAGCCCCTGTCCCTCGGAGCCGGGTTTCTAAGAGCAGGGGATGAAAGTCTGTGGCCTTGGACGTAAAACTCAAGCGATGTGGTGGTGAGCCAAAGTGTGGCTTTGCCCCTGAGGGGGTTGCTCACCATCCCCTCTCGGCTGAAGTAATTTCCTTTCGGCTTTGCCCATCGGGGACTTGCCCCCCGCTGTCAGGGGCAGCCTAGGTGCGAGTGCAGCGCTGTGACCCCCAGAGGTCTCTGAGGGCTTTCTGGGTTCCAGGACTCAGACGTGCTTTTCTCCTTCCCGGGCCCTTGGCCCACTGAAATCCTGAATCTCTCCTGGAACTCGGCCAAGTGCACGGCTCTTGAGATTCGAGTTGATTTATGAATGGGGGAAATATGTATGTAAACATAACATGTGCTAGTTAGTTAAATAGCACTTCCTTGATTACTAGCATTTTCTCTCTGTCCTGATTGTGAATACCAGTTAGCAGTTGAAATGCACTTGTGAATACCAGTTAGCAGTTGAAATGCACAAGGCAGTGTATTTTGATGCGCAGGCAGTTTTTGGGTTACCTTATGGTCTCAGTACTTCAGACTGCCCCGTCTTCAAGATTTCAGGCTGTGGAACTGGTGTTTCCACTCCTGGCTGGTCACTGTTTTCTGCTTGTAGGTTTTAGGGCACATGGCTGAACATGGCAGTGTCCTTGGACCGTGACTGCGAGCCGTATTATAACGGAGTGGTGCCTACTCGGCAGAGGACGAGGAAGTCATCAGTACTTAAACAGTTTGTGTTAATTGTGCATCTCCCCTAATAGGAGAAAGAAGGGAGGGAGATATAATTTAATCCCTTTAAGGTCACTGTTAATTGTGAAACTGAAGTGTGAAAGAAAAATATATCAATGGCAAGTACCTGTATTGGGTTTGTAAATCATAAGCTACAGATTGTTCCTGACAGAATTCACAGTATAAGGTCAGTTTTTGCTCCCCCAACATTTTGCAGATGAACTCTGCTGCACTTCACCTTTTCCCACCATAGACTCTCTGGGTGGTAGTTAAGCAGGAAATGCTCCAGGGCCAAATGTCTAGGGTCAAATCCTGGCAAATCCGCCTGTGAATCTTATGACCCTGGGCAAGTTACAGAATTGCTCTGTATCTCAGTTTCCTCATGTCTAGAAATGGGAACAATACTGGTTTCTATCTCATAGGGCTGTGTTGAGGAAGAAGGGAGTTAATATATGTAAAGTGCCTAGCCCAGTACCTGGCACGTAATAAGCACTTATGTGTTAGCTATTGTAATTATCACTACATTGGTGACTGTGGGCAATAGTTGTACTTGTAGACAAAATAATAAAAAGGACTAGGAATAGAGTATAAAACCTGGATAAATAAAGGGCCATGTTTTTGTAGTGTCTTGTTCAGCATTGATGCGTGTTTCTGTACCTATACTCACATAAGGCCAGAGATGGTAAATCAGTAAGCTACAACGTTGGTGGTTGTGGAGTTTCTCCTGTTCCTTTTAGAGATCAAGGGACTGAGGGGAAGAAAAATGAAGTGACTTGCCTAAGAAACAGAGGACATTCATGCCCCAAGCTGGAACTGTAACCCTGTCTCCAGATTCCCAGCAAAATGTGGGTTTCTTCGGTTACACATTATAATCCTTAAGCCTTGAGAAAAGTAAGCTCCACCTTTAACGTGGCATATGTTTCTAAAAATATTTATTTGTATTCAGTATTTCTTGCTGGTGATTTGAAAGTTGAGTTTCCTTAGAATGTGTGTAGTATTATTTTTCTGTTAACAAACTGAGTGTGGTTGAGGTTAATAGGACAAGACCTCTGTTTAGCTTGATTCTGCGGTATGGAAGGATCTTTAGAAATGCTGCCCTTGGTGAAGCTCGGTGCTTTGATTGGATATTCTTTTCTCTAACTTGTGGAGCTAAAGATTCATCTTAAAGTTTCTGATTTCTGTTTTAGCTTTTTATCTACCTGACACGTTTGATAGCATGATGGTTTTTTAAAATTCAGCCTAAGGGAGTAGTTAATGAGAACTTAGTTTACACAGCATTTCAAGGTAGTTCTTGGTAAAGATATTTGTCTGCAAATTAACATTTGCTTTTAACAGCACATAAAGGAGTTTTGGAGGATATGCATTATTATCATTTAGCTTTGGGGAAGTTTTGCAATCAGGTAATGAATTTTTCCGCTAAAAAAAAAAAATCAGTTTCACTCTATGAGAGTTTAGCAAGCTCCTCTTAGAGGTACTTCCTACTGGAAATGTGGGAGGATTTTCTTGGGCTCTGTGACCCAGCTTCTAAGTTTGATTTTTCAGTCTGTGAGAAATTAGAATGCCCCAGTTGCAAAGATTTGCATTTCCTCTTTTTTTCTCCAGTTATCCTTTAACCAATACTTACTTGATGTTTCTGAATCTCAAAGTGTTGCTGACTGACGTATTGTTCTCCCAGCTTGTGTAGGTGCCAGAGGGGCCTAATTTGTATTTTCTTACTTAACTGTTCATCTAAAGATCTATTTAGGAAACACATATTGATTTAAGGAAAACTTTAAATCCTATAGAATGATAATGGTGCATATATTTTAAGTAAATTTTTTTACTAATGGTAACTTTTAAGGTTGTTATTTTTTTATTTTTTAGAAAAGAAGGGAGGCAGTAGGGGCACCTGGGTGGCTCAGATGGTTAAACGTCTGCCTTCGGCTCAGGTCATGATCTCAGGGCCCTGGGATCGAGTCCCTTGTCGGGCTCCCTGCCCAGGGGGAGGGAGCTCCTCCCTCTCTCCCTCTGCCTGCAGCTCCCCCTGCTTGTGCTCTCTCTCTGACAAATAAATAAAATCTTAAGAAAAAAAAAAAAGAAGATGGGAGGGAGTTTTGGGATCTGCTGTACAATTTCAAATGTAGTGGTAATTGTTTCTTCTCCCCTTTAAAATTTTTGTTATCCTGAGATTTACTTCCTTGGTCATTGCCATATGTGACACTTCATATTTCTGGGTCCATCCACTTGACCAATGGTTAGATACCATACAGTGGAAATGAGCACAGCAGAACTTCCAGGACGGGTGGGATAGAGTCAGTGAAAAGGTACTGAACTCCTTCATTGTCTATCCTCCACATGGTTGAGAGGTTAGTAAATGACATGTGTGCATATGTGTATTTGTGTGTGTATGTATGTAAGTGATTGCTGCCTTTGGTTTGAGGTTTCTTCACAGGGTCTACCAAGAATCAACACCCACTAGTTAAGGTCTCAGGAAACCCTCAGGTGGCATCACGGATGCAGTTTCTACAAAGCATCATAATAATCTCTTAGCCAGAGTGACAGAAGATTGGACCCCTTATTTTTGTACTTTCTCATTTGATTTTGGCCAATTCAGTGAACTTTTCATTTCCTTTGTTTCCGTGTTCAATGATGGACGTTAGGTAGGGTGGTGGTGTGTCACATAGTTTATAATTCTGACATCATTCCTCGGATGAATAAAACTGTAAATGTGTATCTTTTATTGTTCCCAATTATAGTCCCTTGAATTTCCTTTCCTGATCTTTCACTCTGTTTCATGTTTTGAATATTTAAGTGTGTGCCGATTTGATTTATTATTATCTTTTCTGTTTGTCATTGAATTATGCTACTCTTATTATAGCTTTAAAAATCTTTCTCTTCCTAGGACTGTCTGATCAGTGAAGAGTCAAGCAGATGAGACAAGGAATGGTTATAGTCAAGTGTTATTTAGAATAATTTGTACGTTATCTTTAGTCTTCCAAATAGAACCCTTCAAGTTAGCAGCCAGTATTTCCTGCTAAGAGCTAGCTATATAAACTTAGCTTTGTTTTGGCTAAGGCATATGTTATTGTGATAAAAATATCTAAAAATCCATTGAATATTTGCATGCGTGTTCAGTGGGGAGGAAGAAGACAGTATAATCTTGAATACTTGGTTGTTTTGGA